TCAGATCATTTCTTTGAGATCTTCAATAAATTCCCTTAAATTTCTCGGGAATTAGTAACTAGTCATCTACTTTAGGATATATGATATCCGAATCTCTTATTCTTATCAGGGATGGCCCTCCTCGTGGGCGGCGTGCGGGCAACTACTGGGCTGCATTACTTTTGTGCGTTTGTTGTCTACTGTTTCCTGCCCCTCACTTCGAGGCCAACGTGGCACACCCTGTCTACGGCAACACTTCGCGTTAATTATGTTTATCTCCGTGTCAACTGCACCCAGCAGGCTAATCCACTCCCGGCTACGGCCGGAGCCCTCCGTACCTGGAGTCCGTATTTCGAAGGCGACTAGTACACTTGTCCTCAAAACCGGAGGCGGAATTGCCAACCACACCTCGGCCACTTCGGCTCGAATCGGAAAGGGGCCGTTGGGGTCGGCTTCCAATGGCGGCTGTGCCCCTCCCCTTGTGTTCTTGTTCCTGTAACCTGTGCCGGGTGCGCCACAGAGGTCTTCGGTCAACCGTGTGGTCGGCGGTTGGTCGCAAGTGTCGTGTGGCGTTTTGGTTTTTGTAAGGTGTTTGACCCTAAGTTGCCTTCGAGCAGGCGACTGGTCTCCTCAGGGGGCCGGTATGAGGAACACGACACAGACTGGGAGAGGGGGCGCAACGGGGACGGACACTCACATACACTCACAACCAGTCAGATACACTCGATACAGGCGGAAATACCGCCGGGTACAACAGGCCATGGGGGGCAATCTGGCCTCGAGCCATCGCAAACAATCGCGATTTCTCACACGCAAGCTGGCCAAACTACGCAAACAACACAGGGCACGAAAGCAGGCACACACACTAGGCTTCATGCGACGTCTCAAAGCAAAACATGCACGCATGAAACGCTGCAACACCACCATGCGTATGGCTATATGGAATACCAGAGGCTTGGGAGCTATAGACAGCAAACATGACCCGGAGCTGAAGTGCAAAGCCTTTCTTGCTCGGATGGACGCACAACAGTGGGATGTCATCTGTCTCACTGACCTTAAATACCCTGACGATGGCACACGAGAGTACCGATACAACGGGCGGGATTGGTACATGGTTGTCCTCGGGCGGGTGGGCTTTCTCCTCTCGGATGTATGGTCCACTTGGTGGGAACAGGGCGGGGCCATAACATACCAGCGAAACCTACGAGCGGCGGCTATCGGCATACCCAGACGGGGCTGGAGGAGAGGAGTCTGGCTTTGCGCAGCGTACGCGCCTACAAGCGCGGCAGGACGGCGGGCACGCGCGGCACTGCGACAGGATGTAACCTATCTAGTCGAGGCGGCCCCTGCCTCTAATATGATCGTAGTCGCAGGAGATCTCAACGCGGAATTGGGGAATAATCAGGACGCAGGGCAGGTGGGGAATGCAGCGGTGGGTTCTTTTTCACATGCACGTCTGACCACGGCAGGGGAGGAATGGCGGGACTGGTGCGTCAGATATGACTTTCGGGATGCGGGCAGCCGATACCAGCAGAGACGTAGATGTACATGGTCACATCCTCGTTTCCGCACAGATCACGAGCTAGATCACTTCCTTATTCGTCACCGCGATATTTGGCACCTACAGTCTTGTCGCATCCTTTATGATGGACCCAATGTCGATGTACCGTGGACCCCGTACACGGACCATAACCCGGTAGAATGCATACTCAGGGTAGGAAAGTGGTGGGCCCCCAAAACCGCTCGGAACAGCTCAGCGCAGCGCCCGGATCTCGATGCTCTTCGCGGTTCAGGGCCTACGGCGGTAGAGCTGCGGGAAAAATGGCAGGCTCTTGTAGAGAGCCGTCTCAGGGACCTTCGTTTGGAGCTAGAGCAGGAGCCCAATGCTACGCAGAAGTGGAAAACCGTCTGCCGCATATGCCGCAGCGCGGCTCTGGAGGTTTGTGGAATCTTAGTAGAGTTTAAAGGAGCTCCATGGCTGCAACAACACGCGAGGGAGGCTTTAGAGTTGGACGCCGCCATTCGGGAAGCTAAGCTTCGAGATGAGGCGGCAAGAGCACAGGAAGACCCACAGGTAGCGGCCGACTTCCGGCGCAGACTTCAGGCGACCAGGCGGGAAAAGACACTCACAGTACGCAGATGGAAGGAGGCCTGGTTGCGGGATAGGGCTCATGCTGCGGATGCCTTGATCGGCACGCCGGATGCATTCGGGGTTTTCAAGATAGTCAAATAAATCCTAGGAGCTGTGAAGCCAGGCAAAAAGGATGGAGGGCGGAAACGGGCGAGCACAAACGCTGAAGTTGATGCATGGAAGGAACACTTCGCACGGATTCAGGCGGGTAAGGGGGAGGTCCCGGAGAGGGTCTGGGAAGATGTTGCGGGGCTAGAGGAGTGGACGGAACTGAATGATGAACCTACGTGGGAGGAGATGCAAAGGGCCATCAGGGAAATGAAAACAGGCAAAGCCGGAGGCGATGATAGGATGTTGGCGGAATTTCTTAAATGGTCGGGACTTGAACTTCAACGCCAAATGTTTCGGTTTATTACGGATGCTTGGCAGTACGCCAGCACGGCGGAGGATGGGCGTGAATCTGAACATTGGCCGAAAGCATGGAAGGAAGGCACCGTGGTACCATTTTGGAAGCGCAAAGGAAACTGGAAAGATAAAAACACCTGGCGAGGGATCACCCTTCTTTCGGTAGGCTCCAAGCTTCTGGCACGGATATGCGCACAAAGACTGTCACGTTGGTCACAAAACTGGATGAACCCGCTGCAGTTTGGTTTTCGACCCGGGTCAGGGGTGGACGACGCCCAGCAGATAACCAGAAGCATCCTGGAAGAAACAGCACAGTCGGCGCACAGTAAGGTTTATGTACTCCGTTTCTTCGATCTGGAGAAGGCGTATCCAAAAGTATCGCGGCCGTCACTGTGGACAGCCTTGCAGAGGAAAGGTTGCCCACGAGGCTTCCTCAAAGTATTCAAAGGCATCCATGAAGACCCATCGTGCAAAGTTCGTTTTCAGGGAAAGGTATCGGGGCACTTTATCCCGGAACGGGGCTTACGCGAAAGTTGTCCCTCGTCACCGATACTCTTCAATGTATTTCATCATTGTGTTATGGAAGTGTTCCGAGCGAGACGGGGCAGAAAGGCTCTGTCCAATCAGCATCAACCCGGTTTGGATTGGGTATTTAAGGTCGATGGTAAAGTCGCCAAGCGTAAAACGGATCGGGAGGAGGAAGGACGCAACATCAAGCGAGTTTGCATTGGGGACTTTGCCTATACCGATGATACCGGCATCGTAGGCGAAGCGGAGGAGGCTCGAGCGGCGGAGACCATTTTTACGCAAACTGTGGAGGATTTCGCGGGCAAAGTTAACACAGATAAAACGGAAGGTCTTCGAGTAGCGTCAACAGTTCGAGCACCCACGGATGTGCCGTGGTTAGGGGAGGGCCCCACTGTGAAACATCTAGGAACACTACTGGCAGAGCGAGCGGGCCACGCAGCAGAAACACACAGATGTGCACAAAAAGCGGCCAGTCGGGTGGTGGAGATCTCAGGCGCTTGGCTCCGGGGACGTACCAAACAGTATAAACGAAAGGATTTAAGCACCTCCACGCGGATCAGGGTCCTTAAGTCAGTGGTCAAAGGCACACTCATGAGCTTTTCGCGCACCCGCTCCTGGCAGAGCAACCAAATCAGTCGCATGCAGGGAATCATTCACATGGCCATACGGCGCAGCTTGGGCTATCGCCTGAAAGAACTTCGCCAAGCAGGGATCACAAACGAGGTTATGCGAAACCTGGTGCAGTGGGAAAAGTTCGACTCAGCCGTCCGAAGGGCTAGCCTTTTGTGGTTAGGACACGTAGCAAGAATGCCGGCGGAATCCCCGCAGAAGCAGATCATATTTGGATGGGTAGAAGGTCATAAGGCTAAAATGCGATGCCCTTTCAAACAGGCGCAGTGGCTCAATTCATGTCTACGGCAAGCGTGCATCCCAGAAATGGACTGGTTTCGCCTCGCACAAAACCGTTCAGACTAGAGAAATAGGATTTTGAAGGCTTTCCCCTCGGAGACAGTCAAACAGGCAAAGAAAAAGGAATTGGATAGATGGCACCTAGGCCAACCTATCCCGGCTTGGGCGCTACCAGCGGGCACGCCAGAAGTAGATCGGGAGCATGAGGATAGTGAGGACGAAATGGGCATTCGTCGCAAAGGACATGCACCGGGACAGGAGACAGAAATGTATCGCCCCAAGGGTCGCAAGCCGCGGACAGACCGACGGGCTCCGAGGGGACACGGCACACCTACGTGCCCAGTGTGCCAACAGCAGTTCGATAAATACAACAGTTTAGCGTTTCACTACGAGGCAGAATATACCATCTGTAGTCCGAAGCTCACCACGGTGCAATCCTTCACCTGCACGCAATGCCTGCAGACATTTAGGAGGGCAGGACAACTGAAAACACACTCTTGTGCAGCAAAACAACGCTTACCGCGCTTTGATGCGATAGACGAGATCGATGATCTGGTGGGCTGGAATGATGCCATGACACAGCTGCCCCTACCTACCTCCCTACATGTTTACACGGATGGATCCGGTGGAGACCGCAACACACAAATGGCAGGGTGGGGGGTAGTGGCTTTTGAAGGCGAGCAGTCACAGGTAGAGGAGGATTTTTGGACGGAGGGAGATCCGTGGCTCGCGGGACTATACGGTCCTGTCATAACGCAGGCACACGACCCCATGTGGTTGGGAGCTACCACGCACTCTAACAACACGGGGGAACTCACTGCTATAGGAGAAGCATGTAGATGGCTACTCGACGTACACACCCGTATGCCGGAAGACTGGCCACGTATCGTGTATGTGCATTATGACTCTGAATACGCTTATGGGATAGCCACAAGACTCTTCCGAGCTCAAGAAAATCAGGCATTGGCGGAGTCGGTGGCCACGCTCGTGAGCGCGGCACGTAGGAAGTTTCAGGTCATTTTTAAGCACGTAAAGGGGCACAGTGGCAATCGAGGCAATGATATTGCAGATGCAATGGCGGCAAGGGGAGCTCTAGGCAGGGTATCACCACACTGTGCCCGATGGCTCGAGATGCTCCCTGACAACACGGATCCGACACCTCGCGCACGGCCATCGACGGCGGTGGGCAAAGGAGCAGCAAAAAGCAGAGTTCGTCGTGGGCCTCACACTACGTATGAGCGTAGACACCCCCGTGGGCATGAATTAGTCACCTGTCCCATCTGTCAGGAGGAATTTAGAGCAGGGGATCTTGCCCAGCATCAGCCGATTTGCCGGGGACTGGGCGACGCCAATAAGACATGTAAATATTGCGGTAAGGTGCTGGGCACGGTCCAGGCGCGCAAGAACCATGAGCGCTACTCTCATGCGGAGGAAGCGCTAAGGGACAGGCTGATTGGGAAGCTCTCCAAGAAGCGTTCAGGAGCATGAGTAGTAACACGGCATGCAGCAGCGGGTGAACAGACAGACAAGATCGCAGTCAACTAGGGTCCCTGATCACGTATTGTGCACATGGATGTCATGAGTCCACGGTAATCTCACATCACATCGCGGAGCTCCTTTTGGGCTGCAGCTTTAGCTTCGCCGACCTCCGCCCTCGTGACCGTGATGCCCTCCGATGGTGCTGATAGGAAGCGAAAGCTGGACGAGCTGTCGCAACAAGTCAAGGAACTCCAAGAACACAGGGGCGAGACTGACCACACTAAGCTCGAACTACAGGCAGAACGGGAGACGGCTTACAGACACCTTCGTGTGGAGAGTTCTGCTGCCCTTGCTGACCTGTTTCAGCGGATGGAGGCGGGGACCCTCCCCCGTAGCCAGCTGCGCTCCTCCGCCGCCACCGCCTTGGTGGAGGAAGTGTCAGCTACCTTGGCCCGCGCCCAGGACGAGACGGAGCTGCAGCGACTCGCAGGTGACCTCAGTAAAAGTAAGCGGGGTGTGCCCACCCGGCAGGCCCGAATCGCGTCAGGGGAAGCTTTTGCCCCCCTGGCAGACTTGGGTCTGCTGGAGTGGGTGCAGCCGGCGGGGCGGGGGTGGAACCTACGGCTCCAGAACGGAGAGCCGAGCAGACTTCTGTTTGAAGGAGTGCGCAAGGAGCTCAACTGGGTTCTCTTCGTCTTGGGAAAGACAGGGGACGGCAACACACCGAGCTGCGTGCAGATCTTCCCGGATCGAGGCCCTGCTACGAGGCGGCATGAGAAAGGAAGGAAGGGTGGAGGTAAAAGCAAGGGGACCAAAGGAGGGAAAGGAAAAGGGAAAACTGATACTGGCGGGGGACGAGGGGACGGCGGCGGCGGCGAACCGGCCATGGCGGCGCGACCGTAAGGCGGTTTTTTTTTTTTTGGACAGTCGTATATGGACCAATTTTCACGCACAGCAGCAAACTGAGAACTTCATTTCGGACACGTACGAACTGACGGTGTACTCCAGAAACAGAATTAGCTCGTACCCCCAACAAGCTGGCATGAGTGTATCGTCATGACTTATTTTTCGTGCTCTTCTCGCGCTTGGGCTAGGCCACGGGCCGAACCCACAGTGAGGATCCTCCTATCGGGAGACCTCGAAGTCCGGGTAGTCCCTACGTGGGACTGCCCAACCAGTCTTGCGAGAAGATTTATCAGTTTGCTTCAACAGTTAGGGGCCCTCAACCCCCTCCCGGAAGTAGGATCGGTTAAGCCCCCGCTGGAGTTACACTATGATATCTTAAATAACGTCTCGAAGGCCGCCGCGCCCAATGACGTGACACACCCGGTGGCAGAGAACAGTGCATGGGCTACCTCCGGCGCGAACTTCTTCTTCTTCTTATCAGGGATGGCTTCTGGGAGCAATCTTCCTAGACACTTATTTCTTCTGTGGTCGAGATTTTGCTAGTACCTGCGTTTGCTAGTCCCTTCATATCATAGAATTTGAGGTGAACTTCTCATCATCGTATTATAAAACTAAGGGAGGATCCAATATCTGTCATCTATATAGTCGTGATCCTATCGTGATTCTTATGATATCGATCTCTTTCATCTTCTTGATTTTGGATTGTGTCCCTTCCTATATATTGAATTTTGGATTTCTACATGAATAGGATGAGAAATATATTATTTCATCTAATTGATTTGGATACCTACTCCATTCTTTAATATTGGGATTTGGATTCTTTTGGCAATCCCGTGAATTCCGGCAGGATTTAGATCTTGAAATTTCATATCATTCTTGAAAAATACGACAAAAAATATCAATTTTATTTATAAACATAGGGGTCCGTATTCCGTGGCATTCTCTAAAAAATATAATGATATTTGATATATATAATCATAATATCTAGAATGAGTAAAATATTTTATATATAAGCATATATATAATAATTTCTTTTCTTATTTGATGATATAATTATATATATATATATCATATATTTATTTTTATAATTAATAATATTTTGGAATTATAAGTGGTCAAATTAATAGATAGATTTATAAATATTTGATATTCAAAAATTCTAGATAATATTTCAATAGGTATAATTAGAAAAAAATATTTCGATATATTACGAATAATTAATATTTTCGGATTTCATTGTTTTTTCCGGGAATTATTTTTCAAATGAAGAGATTTGAATGATCTGTAGTTGATGATAGACGAATTGATGTATCTTTCTAAAGCCTTCTCGAGGTGTAAGCGCGGTGTTGTGTATATAGTGCGCCCGTTGCGTGGTCTTATATATGATATTATGGATATGAATCATGAGAAATTATAGGTTATTTAATATATATGAAATATTGAGGAATATATAATTTATATAATGATATCATTGGAGTCAATAAGCACGATAATATTAGTAATTCATATATTCACGAATAATCGGTCATTTCGATGGAAAAATTTTCGGAAGGGCGATATATCGATCTTCGCGTGTCTATATTAATATCGGAGATACTAGTGGAAAAAATAGTAATAATCTGTTTCAATGAATCTGATGATCAAAAATTCTGAAATTCTAAAATATTTAAGAATGATTATTGGAAATCTGAATACTCATAGATAAATTCGATTATTTTCGTAGATTTAGAAATAGAAAATCGGAGATTTCATTTCTCTGAAAAGAAAATTTTTTAAAATTCGCAAATTTCATTAGGTAGTTGGCGGATCTCGGGTTCGTTAAAAAATGAATGGTAGAAAAATAATGATTCTCCGACGAATTCGATCTTTTCTGGGAATTTGTGAATTTCCACCCCAGCGAGAAATTGAGTATTATTGGTATTTTTGCTATTATTAAAGAAAGGAAGCGAGAAATAAGAGAGAGAGAGAGAAAGAGAAATAAGGGAGGGAAGAGAGGAAAGAAGAGAGAGCGCAAATATATAAGATAAGATGGAGAAAATAGAGAAGAAGATAAATCGATTAGGATCAAAAAGATAATATTGATATTGATAAAATGATTGATCTTCTCTTGGATTTCTTTATTTCTGATTATCGGAGTCGTCGGAATATCGCAGATGATATGAATCTAAAAATAGAAATTAGCAATAGAAAAATAAATCCCATTGCTGGAGACCCGCAAATCTACGAAAAATTTGGAATTTGACGGCGAGTGCTTAGATATCCTTGAAAAATCTTTGATTTTGCGTATTTCTGGCTATCGGAGTCGTTGAAATATGAGAAAATCTGAAATCTAAATATCCTGGTATATATGATATAATTCATAAGCGGAAATTGATCATAGAAAATCAATTTCTAATTTTCGAAATAGGGGGAATAATAAATCTGCGAAAATCTTCGAATTTAAAAGAGAATATTCATTTTTCCAATAATCATATTTTGATTTCAGAAATATTGGAATTTGAATGTCTATCTATCGGAATTATTGAAATAGGCAGAGTCCCCGAGACATGCCCGCGATTTCATATAAATGACGTATTTTATCAAAAAAAATATTGCGGAATATTCCTTTTTTCAAATAATCTTGATTGAAAAATTTTGGTTTTCTTTGACTCTGGTCATTATAATAGGGGAACCCCGAGAGCTATCCATAATATAATATCAATGATACGTTTTATAAGAAGAATTGAATTATAGAAATTCAGAACCCAATTTTCTATTAGAGATTCCGAAATCGATAGAAATCCGTAAATCTACGAAAATCATTGAATTTATCGAAGAAATTTAATTTTTCTAATAGCAATTTTTATATAATTAAGATTTTCGGAGATTTTGATCATCGGAATCA